TGATCTGCAACATCATCCTGACTTAAGACAGCTGCAAAGTCTGAGCTAATGCGATGTGATGTGGAGCAAACCTTGATGCCATCAATGAACCAGAAAACCTAACATGGAAATGGAAATAAAATCCTTTCTGATGTCTAAGTCTTTTGGCCTGGAATCATGCCTTTCTACAGGACCTTAGAAACACTGCAGTAGGCATCTTCTTTTTTACAGGATTTTGTGGACAAAAAGAGAGCTCTGTTATATTATTTCTGGACTGAAATTTAGGCCCAACTGAGGCAAATTAAACTTCCTGACTTCTGTGGGATTATATTTTGATTTTAGTTTCTAGCATGGCCTGCTCTGGGATTGTCCAGGTTTTCAGTCATCTGTGATATCGATGAAAGTACCCTGTCAAAAAATTTGTTGAATGACATTTCTTCCTGTGATAAGGACTATAAGAGGCATATAAATAGGACTAGCAGGGTACAGAAAGAGCAAAGCACATCTTAGAGTCTCTGCATGGCATTGCAGGAAAAACTCTTCAAACCCTCAGTGATGCTTTGTCTCCCACAATCTGACCAAGATGTACAACTTTTTGTTTTTGTGGTCCAGTGATGCTCACAGCACATTTAGGAGAGCTGTCAACTCTGTCTAGATATGGCAGAAAGGTGCAGGCCGTGGAGGACAGATCAGAGGCACAGAAGGCATTCTCGCTGTTGCTGGCATGTTGTAACAGATGAACTTGACTTGATTCCAGTTCTAGTTCACACACAGCTTGAACAGAGTGTGAGCAGGTTGGCTATACCTGGTGCAGAGGTGTGCTCTGTTCTGTGCTAGTGGCAGCATCCTGCTGAGCGTCTCAGTTCAGCTCAGGTTTCTTCAAAGTCCAGCATAGCTGCAGAATGAATTAATTTACATCAGTGTCCTGTAAAATGGATAATTCCAGCATATATTATGTTGAAATGTAGCTTTTTAAATGTTCTAATGATTTTCAAATATGCTTACTCTAGAAAAAGTTAATTAAGTAAAAGCAGCATCTCTCAGCACTATATGTTCCTTGGAGCATTTGGTTAACCAAGATGATAGATTTCCTGACAGATATTGGCATCCAAAAGTTAACAGATCACTGAGGTTTTTTTATACCTTTCCTCTCCTTATGTAAATCACTTGGGGCAAGCAGGTATTTATTGACAGGCTCTTGTGGGACAGGAGCAGAGCTACCAATTGGTGATACAAAGTGGCAAAGGACAGAATAGCTTGTGTTTTGAATTTCTTTTGCTGAAAGCATACAGGAGAGTGTTCCCTAAGCCAATAGCTGCAGAAGGCGGCGCATTAGCTCTCTGAACCCTGAGGCAGTTGCATACTTATTTGTCTTCTGGGCTGTAGCTCCTCACACTCCCATCCACCCTCCTAGTCCCTTTGTAAAGCTGATCAGCATTTTCTGGCCACAAAGCGGTGCATGTTTCTAGAAAATATCCCATTCAAGTGTGTGTGTGTGTGTGTGTGCAAGTATATTCAAAGTTCTGGAAGCAATATCCTAGAGAGTGGAAGAGCAGAATAATGTTGGCCTATATATTTCTTGTGTTTTTTTTAATATTTTTTATATTCTCCGTGTTAAGCTTCACCCCGAGAAGTAAACCTGATAACTATTGTGGATGGTTACAAGCACCTCCTATTGATGTATATATATATTTATATCTAAATCAGGTATTAATTCTGCAGCCTTACAATAGACTTCATCCACCATTCCTATAGCTTGGCTGCTATAGGAAGACCTCCCATAGAAACTCTTGGAAACCCCATACACCATAATTGCCTGTGAGGGCAGATGCTCCTTCTGTCTGGATGCTGGCTCAGACATACACTGGAACATGCTGCCTACTGAAAGTGGAATCAGTGACAAGTCTTTAATAACTCCGAGCTATGTACTTTGGCAAAAAATAATCAGCAAGAATTCTGTTGTCGGTTGATTGTGTCAATTGTACATGTCCTAATAAGCTATCGGAAAGATGTGTTATTAACGCAGAAAAACTTTGCTGAGCACTGTTAAAATTAGATAAAATTATCAAGGTAGATAATGTGCTTACTATTTTATTAATAAACATTTAAATAATGCTATAAGTTTGCACAATAAAAGAGACATTGCCCTGAAGAGATTACAGTCTAAATAGTACCTCTTAATTAAAAGCTACATAGATTAGTGTTGATTATACACAAAATTACAAGGTTGCTTTTAGTGTGATCTACAATGCTCATGGTTACTGCCCATGTGAGCAAAGTTACCTAATGAAGTTTTGATCTGCTTAGGCAACATTTGCTTGTAAAATCTCTTCTGTTTCTCTGACCAACTTGAAGAGAATAAGATCATGTTTTCTTCTGTGAAGAGGAAGATAGAATTGTTCTAACTCCCAACCCTCTAGATACAGGGGTCTGATAAAAAGTCTTTGGCAGTAGTTTTACTTCAAGCTTGAAGTCATTATTTCCAGAACCTCCTACAAGGATGTACGAGCATGGTGCATGTTGTCCACTGCATTTGTACTGTGTCACACTGAGGCTGCCCATTCCACATCTCAGGTCATGGTTCAGGAATATTGAGGTGTTGTTGAAACACTTCCTTTGCACGAGCAGATAGCTTTTGGCTATAAAGTGTACAGATAATTTTAGACAGGGTAGGCTTTTACATGGCTTCTAAAGGGAGGATTGTATGTAATCAAGAATAAGAAAAGACTCAGATCCAAGATTGTTAGTTTTTAATAAATCTGTCACAACACACTGCAAGTATCCTTTTTGCCTCTTGGATTATACAGTCCCATTTATTTCATAACACAAAATTAAATATCTCTTCATGTTCAGAGGGATTGTTAACATATACTTTGTTTCAGTTTGGAAACCATATATTATTTTGCTAAGGCTTATTGAACCTTAATACACTGGAACAGAGAGATGTTCCTGAGTTATTACAAATACTCTTACTTGAGCTGTTTGAACCTGCCTAATGTCCTTGATTTGCTGCTCTTTACAGTGAATCTGTGACCCATTTCCCTAAGGAAAACAATGGAAACATTTCATAGCATCCTATGACATTGTTTTATGTTCTTTCCAAATATTAGAGTCAGCTAATAGTGAAAAATTTGAGGAAAAATATGTAAAATGTAAACAAAGTAAGTTTCTTATCCAATTTTGCAGCTGCACTCATTTGATAAATACTCTCATAGAGTATGTAGTTTTTGCTGAAACTTGTCAGACCCCTTTTGAGAAGTTGCAGAAGCTGAGCTCCTTTAGGATCAGGATCCTTTAGGTCTTGATGATTAGAGAAAATAATAAAGTATTGATTTCCAGAATTTATATTGTTGCATGTAAATAATAACAATGGAAACCACTTATGTCAGGTATTCAAGGAAAGAAAAGATGAAATGAAATTTTTTTATGTGTGTTTTTTAGCTCCTTGCAAAACCAATTTTCCGTTCCTGAAAGAAATACTTGGGGAGTTGCTTGGATTTTCTGTAGGCTCAGAGGCAAAACCTGGGTTCAGTTCCCTTCTGTCTTGCAAAATTTTGGCCTGGTTTCCTCGCTGTCCCTTCCTCCCTTCCAGATTACAAATGGGAAATATTCAACACCTTTTGGTGACTAGAAACCAGACAAAGGAATGCACGGTTCTCCATCTGAGAGAAGCTGTAACCTTAGAGAGGACATGCATGGAGTCCTGTGTACTCAGCCCCATGTAATGCTGAGCTGCTGGGCCTGATCCAACTTTTAAACACAGTCTTTACTGGAGCACAAGACTCGTGCCATTGGTTCCAGTGAAGCTAAAAGCACGTGTCTAAGTAGTTGCCTGGATTAGGGCCAGCATTCAGTCTTTGCTGGACAGAGCCCTAAATAAACAATCTAGGATCAGAGGAGAAAACATTTGCACATGTGGATGTGATTTGGCTGTTTCTGTGGCAGTGGCTTGTTGTTTTCTAAGTTGTACTGGCAATGGTTGGTCTGCTTAAAATGCTAACAATTTCTTGGCTGTTGTGTTAAAATTGACTGCACTCCTGTTACACAGGCTAAAACAGGATGGGTCTAAATCACTCTGACTGTGTGTGATGCTCAGCACTGACAGATACAAGACACTGTACTCTATTTGAATCTGCCCCAATTTCCTGTTCGTGCTCTTGCAGTGCCCAGAAATATTCTGAGATCCAAGTGAGAGGCAATCATCATGTTTCATTCAAAAACTAACTCTTCAAGCACGTTTTTGCAGGGCAAAGCATTGTAAACGGAGATGTCATTTGTAATATTTACTGTCTTAATGTAAAAGCTACAGTAATGTATTAGATTTCCAGCAGGAAAATTGAAAAAACAAATACAGCCTTTTACTATATCTTCTGCCAAAGATATTATTTGAAGAAATACTATGTGTTTTATGAGGGTATTGTGTAAGCAATGTAAGATTGAAATTTGTGTAAATGAAGGAAAAATAACAAAAAAAAGCATTTGAATTTAAGAGATTTACATATATGGCTTCTAGACAAACATGAAACTCTTTAAAAAAAAGTGTCACCTACGAGAATGTAATGAATTAGAAATAAAAAACCAAATCAGATAATTGAGTTGTTGTCGTGAGGAGATCTATTATATATTCCTGCAGCTACTCCAGATGAGAACCCCATCACGGTCAGTAGGTCTTTTGGTCAAGGCACTGATTTCCTTCCTTATCTTTACATTCTGATGCTGAGAGCTGCAGAGCACCTTGAACGCCTTCTGAAGTCACCCAGAGATTACGATAAGCATCATCTTGCAGATTTAGCCTATTAAGACTTTCACAGACTTCCATTACAGTGCCTGTAAGATTAAACCCAAAAAGTTTTGCATGACAAAACATCGAAGTGAAAATCTTATGTGTAAGCCACCTGATATTTATCTGAATTCAGGCTACCCTTTTGTATGTACATGCTAATCTTTATATTTAAATGTAATAGAATTATAGTGCACATCTCAGCTCCTTTATTTGATTTTTCTTCCCCCCTGCTCTCTAGCCTGCAGCTTCCAATGGATCGGAAGTATCTGGACAATGTGGTGAACACAACAAGGAGAACCCAACTTTTGAAAATTATGTGATAGACATAAAGACAAAGGTATTGTCCACTCTTTTTTGTGATGGAGAATGAAATCCTTATTTAGTGAGGTTTTGCTGGAGGTGAAGTGTGTAGAACATACTGAATTTGAGCTCCTGCATTTATTTTTTGCTGCTTATTGGCTGCATGTACATTACCACATCCTAATGAGGCTTATAGCTGCAATTTATTGCTGTTTTTTGCTAGCCCTGTTCATTTTGTGCTGACCAAGGCAGGATATAATTTTAATTTTTATGTACAAATGTTGTTAATGTTGCTGATGGTTCTACAGATTTGCTGATCTCAAGATGGTTTCATTTCAATCTAGTTTTGAAGTCCATGTTGTTGCACAGTTAGTAAATTTTATTCAAGGTGTTTTCAGTCTCTCGTGTGTTGTAGTTTCTTTTCGGTCTGGAGTCAGTATGGCGGAATATAAATTTCAGCAAACTGATGGTTTTTGTATGGGCAGTCTAATGATACCTATCATAAAACTATGTTGAACAACGTAACTTCATGGCTATGGTAAGGGGGTATGTTACATTTCTCTGTCTTGCTACTTGCAATAGTGAAGTTATAAGTGTTTCATTATAATACCTATTATTTTCATAGGTTCACAACTTGGCTGGAACAATTCACTTGGGCTAAGATATTACTGTGTAGACTTTCAGCCTTGAAATCATTGTGTATTTTTTCTTTTTGAATTGAAAGAAACTTAAGTTTTCTTTTAAAGTAAGCAAGCTGGAAACATGATGAAAAAGACCCAGATATTAACTGAGTTGGCATGCTTGTGTGATACCTTGTAGACTTCAATAAATGTTTCTAACAGTGGAAACTTTCAGATTGTTCCTCTTGTCTAAGGCTTTTCCATGAGATTTATTTCCAGGTCTAGATTGATTTCTCTGTCCATTAAATTTTCAAAATCTAAAGATCCAATTGCCTAGCACGATTTTCTGAGTTTCTTGTGTTGTTGTGTTCCCAATTTTTTCAGAAAAACTTTGGTACCATATGGGACCATGATGGTACTTAGAAGTTGAAATATAAGAACGTGTATACTCATTGAAATTTGTCTTTATATTTATGAAAGATATTATTTCCCCAAAGCAAGGAATCATCAAAAGCTTGATATATACCCTAAATACATTGTGTCCATGAAGATATTGTAGAAATCCTGGGATGTAGTGAATCTCATCCCAATTTCACAACAAAATTTATGTTACGAATGCTCAGCTGAACAATGCACTATCTTCCCTACTTAGAGTTACTGCAAACTGCTGGACGGAATGTTTCTCCATCAACAATTCTATGAACTAAATTTTCATGCTGTTTGTACTCTCCAGTACAAAGTGTACCTGAGAGTAAAGCAGTTCCATTGCCAAACTCTGAAACATTCAGAGCTGTGAGTGGTATTTTCTTCAGTTTCTTCTTTCACCAGTACCATGGGATAGCAGATAGCAGATGTTTTGTTTTCATTTCCAGGAACTTGTGGTTTAGTGTGTCAGTTCATGATGACTTGAAAGACTCATTTTGTCTGATTTCTTTTTTCAAGTGAGTGTGCTTGAGTGTTAGTGGCATGCTCCTTTGACAGTGACACATAGCTATTTAGGAATGGCTACATGTTTAAACATATGCACCAGAGCTTTTCAGTTGCTGATGATCAGTTGGTTGTTAGATTTACTTCCCCAGGCAGACTGCTCAAGAATTAGAATGAACTCTTCATTCACCATTGATCTTGAGAGTTGAGAACAACTTCAGGACATACTGTCCTTGAGTACCCTGTGATTCTGTTTCACAGTATCCCAGCCCACATAGAGCCAGCAGAGCATTTGTAACTGAAGCATTTCTATTTCATTCTGAATAAGGGATTTGTGGAAAATGAGAAAACAATTATGGCTTTGTATGGGAAATAATAGGTACAAAAATCATTAGGCATAAGTTTTAAACTAGTGAGGGTTGCGGAGCTTTCAAAAGACTAGCTTATCCAAGGCTCTTTAGAGCTTTAGGATGGCTCTAGGGACCTGTCCCCATCCTCTGCCCCAGACCCTGTGATGATGAATGTGCACTTCCTACAACTCTACGAATCATATTGTGTTCCCAGCTTGCCTCACTACCTTCTTCCTCATAGGTCCCCAAAAGGGTGAGTTTGTGACAATGAGACTACTGGAGAGGTTGCACCATTTCCATCTGTTGAGATTTTTAAGACTAGACTGGATAACAGCCTGGATAGCCTGGTCAGATCTCACTGCTGAACCTACTTTGCTTGGGAGTTTGGAATGTATACCTTCCCATGTCCTTTACATTGTCACTTACTCTGTGATCATCTGTTTACATTGACTCCTGGAGGGGCAGGAATGTCACTGCATTGCTGTCTGACCAAGGACCCTTGGAGGCAAATGCCTTTACACACCACCAGGTACAGCAACCAGGGGCCAGGTATTACATACAATAATGCCCTCACCAAAGTGGGCCAGTGAAGTTCCTAGTGGATTGTCTATTAGAAAAACAGAAGTAGCTTTTTTTCCTGCTTTTCTGGGCCATGCTTGGCTAAAGTGGGGCGAGGTCCCATGTACTACATAAAAGGGTGGTAGGCTGGGAATGTATTTGGGGTAAGAAGAGATAGAATCCCCTCCACAACTGTGAAGAAGAAAAAACCCTTTTTTCTGTGGCTGTTGAGTCTGGGGCCACCATGGCCACCTGGGTGCAGAGACCTTGTGATGAAGGAGTGGAGCTCCCTGTCCACCCTTCGCTTCTCCCTTCACCCATTTTACCATCTACCTGCAGGACTCTGAGTGGCAAGGTCTGCGCTTCCCTACACAAAAGAAAATTGTCTATTTCTTTTCATTGGGAAAACTACCATCTGGAGAAATTGGTCAGGACTCCAACATCAATTGTGCTAAATAGCAATGAAATTTGCCATGCATGGGTGAGGGAATGATTTGTGTTATAGCTTCTGTTTGAGACTCTTCTGGGCCTGAGGCCAGTTGCAGAGCTGCTGCTGTTAGGGCTGCTGCAGTCAGGAGGGGTAGAATTGCTAATCTGGTGATCTTTAAATTAACACCAGCGCTCCTGAGCTTCTGGTTCAGCCTGAGAACTACATTAAAATTCTTAGTGACTAAGGTATACAGAACTTCATTCCTTCTGAAATTTGTATTAACTTCTCTTCCTGGATGAAGAAGAAATTATTTTGACATTTCATCTGTAATACAGATCCTTACTATATAACCAGGATCTGCAAGATTAGTAATTTCTCTCTTTTTTTTTTCCTTCTACCATATACTTACTCAGATAACTTGTATCCTGGTTAGCCTACTAACTAACCAGTTGTGGTACACAGGAACTGGGTTCAAGTGGTATAAATGAGCTCTGACCGTAAAGAACATAAGTTGCCAACTGCACCAATTGCCCTCTTGGAAGATGTAATAAGGGAAGTATTTTTTTGGAGCTTATTTGGATGCAATATGGAACCTGACAACAAGAAACAAAATATAACCCCATGCGAATGACTGGCAATATAATACCGTCAACAAGAACTCCATAGTACACAAATTAAGATACATTAGGAGTAAATAAATCTTTCTCTATATTTGTAAGAGCATGTGTGTGTTCATGTGTTCTCTGTGTAGGTGCATAGAGCTCTAAATAGTCACTGGCTAAATTTTGCAAGATGGTGACATTACTAATGCTGTATTAGCAATCTGGTTGGATGCCTTCTTTCTTAGTGTCTACTCTAAAACTTGGAGACCTACTACTCTTGTTTTTCTTAATTTCTACTGTTTGAATAAAAGAAAATAAGCAAGTTTTGCTTTTTATAATAATCTATTTTTTCTTTACAGAGTTTGCTCTATAGTATTTGAGTTTCAAAAGAATTTAAGAAATATTAAAAAAGGTGCATTGTGAAAAATTAAAAAAAAAATCAGAGAATCTTTCCTGGTGGTTTTAGCTTTTACAGAAGCTTGTTTTTACAAATATTGAATTCAGCTAGATGTTGCAGGCTCTGGTTCTAAATATAGTGGCCTAATTAAACCTTACGCTTTGGTTATCCCAGTGGAAGTACCTGGATACAGTGAAGACTGTAGTGCCAGAAAGGAGCATTAAATTGTCCAGTGTAACCTGCTGCATTATAAAGACCATCACATTTTACCCACTCACCTCATATTATTAGTTTTTGTGTGACTTAAAAACAGACACCTTGGTAAAATTAGAGGAGAAGGAAGCAGTCACCTGGGTAGGTGGTTTTCACATGGTAGTCCAAGAGCCACTGGTGTCATAGTGGGAAACAGCCGTTATTCTTCCTATATTAAGGTTTTGCAAGAGTCAGAGCTCATCACAGAGGTTATTTTTTACCATCTAAATTGACTGCAAGCAACTATAAACCATATATTTTCACCCCAGATGGCTGCTCCTCAATTTGTTTAGTTTTTGGGTCAAGTCTTTCTATAGTAGACTTCAGTCATATGTACAGATAACAAGAAGGCTAGAAAAAATAGAGCTAAGCAGTAATATGACCTCCAGAAATTAGAGCAGAAGGAGGTGTTGCTAATGACGGGTAAAGCAGTGCCAAGGATTTGAAAATCTTAGTCTTGGGGACAAAAAATGAATGGTAAAAGTATCTAGTTGGAGAAAGAAAATTAAAAAGCTCAGCCTCTTTTTGGCGTTTGGGATAGGTAGTTAATGGAAATGAGGAACTGTATCCTTTGGAGAAACACTAGAGACCCATTAGCAGTCGTCTGTTCCCAGTCACTGATAGGTGTGTGTTAGAGGCTATGAGCAGGAGCCCTGGCAACCAAAATGAGTCTGTGGAAGGATGAAGCTGGGGTCTGTGTCACCAAAAGCATGGCTGTCTTCTGTATGGGGCTATGGAAGATTTGGGGGGTAAAAAGTAGGTGGTGATGTTTCAGGGAGCATGCTGCTCAATGATGTGTTAAGCTTGAGTAGCACATATGCAACTCTTGCCCTGTTAAGTGTTCATTGTTGTGTTTTATAGAAGGAGATGATAGTCAAAAATTGGAGGAGTCCAGGAGGAA